TGGGGGGGGGGGGGGGGGGCGATAGGATAAGAAAGAAATAAGAGAGTAAAGTGACTTTGGCATTGATTAGGTGGTTAGAGCGTTGGGGGTAAAAAGCATAAATTAAAACATTTACTTTGCATAGCCAGTAGTCATTTTTGTGTCACAAGGTATGAATATTGAATTTGCCATTCACTGTGCAACGATCCAAAAAGTCTAAAAATGAGGCAAAAATGGGCTCCAAACGGGCACATAATATCTATTTATATATCTCAAAAGGGAATCTGCCAAACTAGATAAATTATTGAACACACTTTTGCGCAAAACATCCCGTACGCCGCTGTCGCCGCACGTAGTAAATAATCCCACTAAAGAAAAAGGCACGATCTATCTTAAATCAAGTGACCTCAAAAAGTGTATCCTTGAGGGGACAATAATTGCATGAAATTAGGCGTGGGCATAAACCCATCGTAGATTAATCATGATGGAGATAATGGGCTTCCTGTTTTGATGATATGGGTCCCATATTTTGATGATAACCAATAGAGGGTATCACATGCCATGGATCGTTAGATTTTATGTGAACAGCACATAAGATAGTGAAAAGAACTTACAATTAGACAATTCGATTATTGATTGATATCTTTCATCTACGTGATTTTGTATTTAACTTATTTTTCTTTTTCGTCGTGTTTTTTCAAGACTACGAACTTATTTTGATGAGGGTCAATAGAGGGAACCAGTAACCACATTGTTGGGGACTTATGATTTGTGGTGTTTGGGGGGTCCAACTAAACAGAAGATACTCTCCAGCTTTTATCTTTTCAAAGGTTGACATGATTGGACCTGCTACAATCCCATACCCCATTGTATGGAAGACGTGAGAGCAATGCACATTCCTTTTTTTGCCTATCATTTGGAAGAGACCATTTAAAGTAACATATCAAAGAAGCCAAAATTAACTGCAATTGCCTGTGAGCATATGGTAAACCTGGGCACATTCTTCTTCCACCACCAAATGGCAAAAACTCAAAATGTTGCCCTTTAAACTCCAAATTCGAGTTCAAAAATCGCTCTGGCATAAACGATAATGGATCGTCCCATATCGTGGGATCATGCCCCATAGCCCAAAGATTCACCATCACTAAAGAATTCTTTGGAATTGTGTAGTTCATAACCTCACACGTGGAATTTGCAGAATGTGGAAGAAATGCTATAGGAGGGTGGAGTCTTAAGGTTTCTTTGATGCAAGCATTCAAATATGGAAGTTTAGAAAGATTGGATTCTTTGATGGAGTTGGAGTTCATTTCACCTTCAAGTTCTTCACGGAGTTTGGCCATGGCTTCTTTGTTCTTGAGCAGCTCAGCCATGGCCCATTCACTTGTTGCAACTAAAGTCCCTGCCCCCGCTGGAAGTATCTCCTACAACAAAATCAATCAAAAGATTAAACCAAATAACTTGCTCAATTAATATTCTCATTCAAATTTAAGTACTTCCACGTTGGCACCGCAACAAATCTCTCATGGAAAATACACACGCGCATGATACGACCGATTCTTGAATGAACATGGCCAACTGGACAATACACATGCCCATTGTCGACTGGGTTGGTCATTTTTCTTTCGCATTCCCACTGAAGTTGAATGCTGATAGCTAAATTTTGGTGGGTTCTACAGTGATTTTTCTTTCGTGTTCCTACTTAAGTTGAATTATGGTAACTAACATTTAGTCAAACATACTCAAACATCACTTACCAAAAGCATGTAGAGCATTTGGACATCTGAAAATCCATTTGCCATCATAAAATCCAAGAAATCCCCATGATTAATCACATCATCACTGCCATTCTCCATTCTTCTCTGCTTTATTAAATCTCCCCACACTCCAAACATTTTATCCATACATTTCTTGGATTTCTTCTGCTGCCCAAGAGGATCCAATTTCAGCCCTTCAAGGAAAGGGAAAAAATCTGCTACAATTGGTGTAGTAGCACACTCCATGAACCTCCACATAATCACTCTCCAATCACTTCCCATTTTCTCATCATTAAAATCAATCAAATCCTTCGAAAAACAAATATTTCCCAAAGTATTGTAAACAGTTGTAAACACAGTATCCCTTATTGTCAAAATTGAACCTTCCTTATTACGCAAAAATTCCATCATTTGTTCCATCTTTTTTGCTCTAATTTCAGCCTGCAAATCCAATGCTTTGTTCGAAAAAAACTCCGATTTCCACAAAACCCTAATCGATTTCCAGTGGGGGTGGCAATCTGTTGCCCATAACAGAGAAAATTTCTTCAAATCAGACTCTTCAATCGGAGTTGCTTTTGGAGCATAGCGCGCCGACAATTCACGGTCGTGGGTTTTAAGAATCTCCACCGCCGCAGCCGGCGAAGACCCAAAAACGACAGCCCGAGTCCCCATCCTTAAAGACATCAAAGGCCCATATTTTTTTGCTAAATTTGAGACTAAAACATGCGGTTTTGTTCCTATAACATGCGGTATGTTGCCTATGATAGGCCATGGAAATGGCCCCGGCGGAAGAATTTTGCGTTTGAATGACACAGATTGAAGAATAAGAAAGATTAAAGTGGGTAGAAGGAGAGTAAGGAGAATGGGAAATCGATTGAAATCAGTAAATGATGAGAAATCCATGGATTATATGCAAGAAAAATTACACGATGATTTAAAAGTACTAACATAAGCAATTAGATTGAGAGATGTGATTCAGCTGCCTGCTTCAAGGGATAAATTTTACAGAAGTAATTCAATCTGGGGTTAAATCGTATAATGATTTACAAGTTCAGATTGTCATTTTCGAATTTTTCCGTTACTTTACGTTAAACAGAAGGAATCTTTAAGTTCCAAGTACATTGTTTTCATGTTTTATTATTGGGATAAAATAATAACTACCACACACTGCTCTACGACTTTTTCAAAGAATGCATCTTTCTCATGAAAAATCAGTATATATTTACCTCAATTTATAATTTTACGATATATTATTTAAAAATTTAAAACAAACATTTTTCAAGAATCACAAGATAAGGTAATGTAAATGTTATCGTACTACTCGGAAATATTATCAAATTTTTTTAATTTTTATTAAAAATAGTATTTTTTTTGGAACGTTTATGTTACCATATATTTTGGAAAAACCAATCAACTAATAATATTAAGGTAACACCTAGGGGCGGATCCACATGAGGTCATGTGGGGGTCAAATGACCCCACAAAATTTTGGATTTTTTTTTTATTTATTTAAAGAAAATGGTTGTTTTAACCCGTTTTCGACCCACTTTAATATATACTAAATGCAATTGAAATATTGCATTCTTAATATTATTTCTAGCTAGTCACCGTCTAGTTTTTCGCTTCTTAATTGTGTGCGAAATGATCAACCATATCAAAAATTACGATGTATCAAAATAGACCATTTCAAATTAGTATTTCGAAAATTTCGATAAAATGCTAACTTTTAAAATTTGCCGATGATCGTATACTATCCAAATCTACAAATCGCTTTCATCATCTAGAAATTCGTTTCGAAAACTACATCGTAGTCATATCGAATGATCCAAACAGATATCGAAAATAGTTAAATATGCGTCAAACGTACGTATTAAAACAGGCGTTTAACTCGTCTTTTAAAAAAAAAATCAATTATTTTATTAACTTTATCATTTTTTCACTATAAATTTTTCAATATAATTTACATCATTTTATTAGGAAATTTTACATTAAAAATAATGTCAAAAATTCTAAAGTCGTTACGGATTAAATGTAATTTGAATTACTTTCAAATTATTTTTTCGTTAAACTTAAATTTCATTTACTTCGTACATCCAATTTAATTTACTCGTCGTTAGCTCAACATCCATAAATGACATGGTAAACAAACTATACATGTAGCAAAATTCATTTAACAATACTGATAATGATAGAATTATAAGACACTTTCAAGATGTCAAAATGCGTATTAACTTATTTTTATAAATATTATATTGTTTTAAAAAATTACACATTAATTTTTGGAGCTAAGCACAACACGCGAGGATGACCTTGCAAGTGACCGCGCCCTCACATTCCCGACGGGGTCCTCATGAATAAAATAATTTCAACCCCATGTGTGTTTGTGTTATGTCAACTTCGCGATCATTCATGTGAGCACTGTAGCACGATTCTAATTTTTGACCCCACAACCTAAAACGACTGGGTTCGCCCCTGGTAACGCATGTTTACTTGTAAGATAATGCATGTGTTATCATCATCGTAATTCGAAATATCCTAGCAAAAAATAACCTGGGCAGTGCAAATCAGCACCTTTATCAACAACTTCGCCATCATGATCTGAACATTATTACCTTCTTCCAAATACCACGAAGACATTAACATTAAGATAACATTCCAGTTACTCGTAGGATAACACGCGTTATCATCACCATAACTCCACATATTCTAGCAAAAAAGTAAAAAATAAAAAATAAAATAAATAAATAATAATAATAAAATTGAAACACTGCCAATAAGTGTTCTCCACCACCATGATTGAAATCAAGCTCTCAAACGCTATCACCATCTTTCAAATTCCACCATATCATCATCAACGTTAAGGTAATATATGTGTTACTTCTAAGATAACACGTGTGTTACCACCACTATAACTCGACATATCCTAGCAAAAATAACTCAAAACACTGTCAATGGACACCTTCCATAACCACCACTGCTAGTAGCCAGCTGCGAAATCTTGGTGTGACCAAATTTTACAAAATTTCCTTGGATTAAAAAAACTACATAAATTCGTGTTCGTTTCCTAGGATTAAAAAAACTACATAAATTCGTGTTGGTTTCCTATTCTGAAATCCATTATAGATGTGTATAGCCTAAAACTTTATGGTTAACCACTAGCCGTCAATTGTCAACATGATTACCCGCCCAGAAATAGAGAGAGCAAAAAAATCCATTCAACCCAATATCCGTGATGTCCTGTCCCGAATGGGATGGGTGATACCCGCCTAACTGAGTACATGAGATGGGTATGGAACGAGGGTCATTGCCCTGAAGCGAGTATGGGACGGGTACGGAAAACATAGTCCTTGTCCCATTACCCACCCCGTTTAATATTAATTTCAAATTTAAGTTCTTATCAAACAAAAATAATAGATTTATCATCATTTTTAAAAAGAAGATAAGTTGTTTTTAATAAATTGGTAAAAAAGTAATACTATTTACTAACTAAAGACATAAAAAATAAAAGAAAAAGAAAAAATAAATGGGGTGATAAATGAGGTAGGAGACTTGCCCCGTCTCAAACCCGCTCCATCCCGCTTTAACAGGGTATAAGTATGGGATAAGATAACAAAAATACCCGACAAGACGGGTGGGAATGGCCAACCCGTCCTATACTCGTCCCGTTGTCATCCCTATCCAGCAACCACCTCCATCACATAGAGCTGGCGACGTCCACGGTCCATCTCCATCTAAGCATCTCAATATGTTTGATTTTTTAAAATAAGGTAAAATAAAATTTAAAATTTAAAAAAATATTTGAAAAATTGTTCGGAGACGATGCAAGGAGTTGCGGGTCATCATCGCCATTGATGCTGGAGAAGAAAATTTTTCGTGGTGATGGCAATGGCGAAGTTCGTAGATGAAAGCAGTAAGTAGTGTGTGGTGGAGTCATGATGGCAGAGTTAGTCCCATAGCTTGGGTAGGTGTGGTGATGGTTGGTGTTTGTGTAGCGACGAAGGATGGCAGTGACGTGGTCACGTGGGATAAACGTGCTTGGATGGAAAAAGGTTTTAAAATTAGGTTTAACTAACATAATGTAAATTTGACAAGTTTTGATTCAAAACTAAGAACTTGTTTGGTAGGGATTTTAATCCAATTAAAATCAATTTTTTGACCGTTATTTCATTATTTCAGCCGTTATTTTTGAATTCTTCTCTTACAGGTAGAACCCACTTTATTTCTAACAGTAAAAAAATCAATTATTAGAATCCCTACCAAACAAGCACTAAAATGGTAGTTATCATCAAGAATTATATAAATATAACCAAACCTTTATTTTATTGGTTTTGTCAAAGTATTAATTTTTTTTGTAACATATTCTATTTTTTTTTTCCAATTTCACTTGTTGAAATATGCTTTAAAATCACGATTCGGAAATTTGTATCTATTAAATAGCAAAATATAATCAATATATAACAACTTCCAAAAAAACTCAAAATTAAAGCTTGGATTCTATTAAAATCAACAGTATCGAAATATTTTCAAGCCCTTGTTTGAGTCCCATTTTGAGGAAAAATGCATTGTTGAATGGACAATGCTATATATACATAACAGTTAACACATTGGTTTACACCTTGGTGAGTTGATAGGTTTTGGTGCATTGATTTTAACACTTCACCTTTTTCAATACATAGCTAGATTTTTGACACATAATGAAGTGTCACTTTAAGTTGTAGAAAACGGGTGTACAAGTAGATTGATCCTTTTTGAATGAATAGTGCATTGATAAAAAATGTGTGACTAAAAAATAAGAAATTTTTTTTGGATTTGAGTGTAATATTATTTTAAGAAAAAAATGTGCAATTAAAATAATGTCAAAACACTATTTAAGAATGAATTTTTTTTAGAGACCAACCAAATCAAAACCAGAAAACCATCTAGCTGCTTGACTGACAAGCTACATTTCTCTTGACAGCCAAAATGACACTAAGTCGAACTAATTTTGGGCTCACTAACTTTGAAATATATGAGCCTTTGAGCGCACCAAAGACCAATTGGGCTTCATCTTGAACCCAGACCGAAAAAATTTTCTTCATCAATAACATTGTTTATATATTTAAGATACATAATTTACATATTTACGCTCTTAGGCCTCGTTTGGGAGTGATTTTTCACCTTAAAAAATTAATTTTTTGACCGTTATTTTACTATTTTAGTCGCAATTTTTGACTTCTTCTCTCACATGTGTCCCTCACTTTTCTCATAGCAGTCTAAAAATCAATTCTCAAAATCACTACCGAACAGATCCTTAATAGATATCTTCTATCATGAAAGAATTATGCTGAATGTATAGTAATCAAAACCAGAAAACCATCTGGCTGCTTGACCGACGAGCTACATTTCTCTTGACAGTCAAAATGATACTACGTCAAACAAATTTTCGGCTCACTAACTTTCAAATATATGAGCCTTTGAGCGCACCGAAGACCAATTGGACTTCATCTTGAACCTAGACCAAAGAAATTTTCTTCATCAATAACATCGTTTACATATTTAAGATACATAATTTACATATTTACGCTCTTAAGATCATGAAAGAATTATGCTGAATGTACAACAATCAAAACTAGAAAACCATTTGGCTGCTTGACTGACAAATTACATTTCTCTTAACAGTCAAAATGACACTACATCGAACTAATTTTGGGCTCACTAACTTTGAAATATATGAGCCTTCCAATTAGGCTTCATCCTGAACCCAGACCGAAGAAATTTTCTTCATCAATAACATTGTTTATATATTTAAGATACATAATTTACATATTCACATTCTTAATAGATATCCAGCTTGATAGCCCACTCACGTGAGTAGGCCAGCGATCATTTGTGAAAGATGGTTTAAAAATTAGTGTACTTGTAACATAATTCATCATGAAATCAGGCTGTAATAAGATGTGGATCTTTACAATTAGATTACACTTCTAAGGGATATACTTAGTGGGACCTTTATAAATGTACAAGTAGTAAAACGTCCACTTAAATCACATCATCTCAAATACCGGTGAGTAGGTCTTAACAGTTGTGCATAACACTCACATTTATTTTATAGAAACAAACAA